AATTCGTAATTGCAAGGCTGTGGGACGAGCCAAAGTGCCCAATCAATCAAGAATGGATGGATTAATAAAATGTGGTATATGTATACCATGGAGTACTATTCAGCTCTAAGAAACAATGGTGATATAGCACATCTTATATTTTCCTGGTTAGAGGTGGAACCCATACTATTAAGTGAAGTTTCCCAAGAACGGAAAATCAAGCACCACATATACTCACCAGCAAATTGGTATTAACTGAACAGCACCTAAGTGGACACATAGGTGCTACAGTAATAGGGTATTGGGCGGTGGGAGGGGTGGGGGGCGGGTCTATACATATATAATGAGTGAGATGTGCACCATCTGGGGGATGGTCATGCTGGAGACTCAGACTTGTGGGGGGAGGGTGGGAATGGGCATTTATTGAAACCTTAAAATCTGTACCCCAATAATAGGCCAAAATAAAAAAATAAAGTTGAAAGGGAATACAATTACGGCTTCACCTCCTCAGTGTCACATTTCGAATGCTCAGCAGGCACGCGTGGGCTGGGGGCTAGCTACTGGACAGGAGCAGGAAACATTCTCTCCTCGCAGAAAGCTGTGTGGGACAGCCCTGCTCTGGGCCCACAGGGCACAGCAGTTCAGACATACGAACGATCGTGCTGACAGGAGCAGCCTTAAAAAAACCCACATACTCCTGGGTTCCCAGCCCAGAGCCTTCCCTTGCACAGCCGTGGGCGAAGCCTGGCAGTTTGAAAGAGCTTACTGGCCGCTCACAAGGAGCCGAAGTCGGCCCGTCGTTCTAGCCACCCGGACCACATCTGGGTCATGCATCCTGAAAGAATTACCTGGGACCCTGACGTTTCTGGGAGTCTTGTCAAACCCTAGCAACAGGCTGGGCAGACGGTACAGAATAAAACCGCAGGGCACCTACCATCGGGGAATCACAGGCCAGGCCTTCTCGTCCTTTGAGGTTCTCTTTCTGATATCCACCCGGAGTTTCCGTAAATAGCAACAACGCTGGAGACAGAAAGACGACACTACTAAGTCCATTTTCTGGTGAATGGGAAGCCACACATCTTGGAAGCTTCTCAAGGCCGAGTGAACGAATTCTTCATCTTGTGTCTCGAACAGACAGTGGAAGGCGTCCAGGACGTCCACCGGGGCGGCATACTGGCCCCACAGCCCTAACAGGGAGACCCCGTACAGGAGTCTCTGCTTTATGGCCAGGGGGACGGGGCGGCCCAGCAGCGCCTCCAGGGCCCGCAGCGCTTCCTTGCTCACGAGGCCAAACAAGAAACGCTTCGTCTGGAGCAGCTGGGGGTTGGCGCCCGTCTGCTTAAGCTCCATCAAACTCCCGACCCTCTCAGCGAACAGAGGCTCGGGGCAGAGGCCGGGCTCCCTTTCCAGCCCCTCCAGCACGTAGTGCAAGGCGGCGCAGAACTCCTGGAGGCCGAGGTGGAAGAAGGAGTGGTAGCCCTCGCAGTGGCCGTCGCGGAGCAGCACGTCCATGTGGAACACGGCGGCCAGCTCGGACTCCCGCAGGCCGTGGGCCGCGAGGTCGTGGCCGTGGAAGGCGGACCTCATGTCCCACACGCCCTCCGCGGCCATGCGGCACAGGCTGGCCAGCACGGCCCTTTCTTCCCGGTTGAGGCAGCGCGGGGCCGCCTCCCGCGGAGTGAGCTGGTCGAGCACGAAGGTGGCGTACAGCCCGGTGAGAGTCTGGGAAATGGGGGCGGCGCGCCCCCCGCCCGCCCTCCCGCGCTGCAGGGCCGCGCACACCAGCGAGCGCGCGGCGACGTCCTGGCACTCGCCCCGCAGGTCGCAGCTGTCCATCACACGCAAGATCTCCGCCCTTTCGTGCTCGCTGGCGACGTGCTCAAGGAATAACTGAAACCGTTTTTCCGCCGAGATCCCGCCAACCAGCAGGTAGCGGGCAGCCAGGGCCGCCGACTTGAGCTTGTCCACACCCGCGCTGCCGGCGGTGATCACCAGGGAGGACGCAGGCAGCAGGGCCTTCCTCAGCAGACTGTGTATCAGGACGGCCGGGGGCCGCCTCTCCGCCCAGTCTCTACAGAGCCTTGTGTCGTCATTGAGGTCAGAGCCCAGGTCATCGAAACTGTCAACAACAAACAAGAGCCGATCGGGTCGGGACATGATCTCCGTCACCGGGGCCTGGGAGTCCGGCCACTCCTTGGAAATCAGCTCCGCAAAACTGCTCTCCCTCCTCCGCAGCAGATCTCTGGTGTGGAGAAAGAAGGCGTAGGAGAACATGCTCTCGTAGAGGTCGCCTTGTGCCCAGCGTAGCATGATCCTCCTCGCCAAAGCCGACTTCCCAGTTCCGGGTCTTCCGTGCAGAACCACGGTGTGGGGCCGGAGCCCTGATGTCTGGCCGAACGCGCCAGCAGCACCCGGGCGTTCCGAGCAGTCAGCAGCAGATCTCAGGGCCATGGTCAACATCCATCTTCATGAGAATTTGGTCATCACGTGGCGCTTGTAGTCCCACCGTGTCACCTCCCCTTGGTCCAAAGTTCGGACCAGAGAGGGTAGAGGAAACACGCAGGAAAGAATTTGAAGGAAGTCTGGATTTTAGTAAAATAGGACAAGACAAAACCCGACCCAGAGTCAGTGGGTGTGCCGAGCCCAGACAGGCCCTGTGCATCGGGTCTCTCATTACTTCCAGCCTCCGTCCCCCTCATCAGGCCACTTCCTCAAGAGCGTCTGTGTCCCTTCAACCTGCACGCACTGCTCTTGCTAACTTATTGTTTCCCATGGACACTAGCACCAGACTTCTTTGCTCATGGCAGATCATCAGTATTTATGACAAGTGCCTGGAGCACCCTGTGCGAACTCCCTGTATTTATTTAATGAATAATCTATGGCTGAACACTTGTATGTTAGTCCTCAGAGACAGAAGCCAAGGGCAGCTGAGAATGTGTGCGCCCATGGCCCCCAGTCAGAACGCCTTGAAGGCCGGCACACAGCACGCCCGCTCTCCTCCCAGGCTGCACCTGGGAGATGGCCCGCGCTTACTAAAGAGGGGGAGGCTGGGGTCGCGGGGCACACCTGCGATACTAGTCACTTGGGAGGCCAAGGGGAGGAAGGATCACTGGGGTCTAGGGTGCAGGAAGCCTGGACAATGGTGGACCTGACTCTACAAAAAGTAAAAAATTAGCCCGGGCATGGTGGCGCATGCCTGTAGTCCCAGCTACTCGGGAGGCTGAGGCAGCAGGATCCTTGAGCTCAGGAGTTTGAGGTTACAGAGAGCTGTGATGACACTGTTTGCACTCTAGCCTGGGTAACAGAGCAAACTCTGTCTGGAAAGAAACGAAAGGAGCATGTGCCTCCGAAGTTAGACGACCCTGCCCCGGATCCAAGCTCTTACCCTAGGGATCTGGTGTGATCCCGGATTGAGCTGCTGTCAGAGTCCCCGCCTGAGGAAATGTATTTAAGAATGTGCATCCCAACATTCATTAACCACATTTGGCCCACCTTGGCAAACATGAATAAGTTGGCCTATTCATCACAACCATAATTCTTTCCACATTACCTGTTTTAACTTTTATCCCAACATTTGTCACACCACAATCATCTTTCATGCCATGTTAAATTATTGTCTAGCCCCTAGAATACAACATTAGCTCCCATGGAGAAAGTAGCTTCAGCCTCTTTCAACACTGTCTCTGATATCCAATAGGCCTCCTCAATGGAGCATGAAAACTGATTCATGGTCCTGGGACTTAAAATTTCTGGTACTAACCAAA